CCCCAAAACCCCAAAACCCCAAAACCCCAAAACCCCGGTATACTCCAACGTTGCTGAAACCGTTAAATTAAAATATTTTGCAAACTCAGTATAAATATGAGCAAATTAATCAAGGACCAGTCTAGTCTTAGCCAAGACTGTTCTACTACATCAGTTCATGAAGAAAATACACAGAGTATTTCTCTAACTGATTCCAGTGGGTGTAAATCGGAGCTGGATTTCTCAACTAATTTGAAGCATGTTGATACGAATGCATCTAGCTGAGGTGAAGACAAATCTACGTCTGAAGGAGTGTCCAGGATAACCGAGAGCTCTCACTCTGGAGATCATGAGGGTAAGCGGATGCTTGCCAGTGGAATTCAAACTATCGTTATCATGAATAAATTCACCCATTCTAAGCATATTGATCAGCGAAAACAGAATATTAATATTGTGTAAGTTATTTCTCCATTTATGGCTGTCTCTGAGCTTTCTTTTAGACATGATAAGAGAAAGAGGCTTTTTGAAGACACAGAGGTAACATCAAGCTGTGTGAAACCATCTAATTATAAATAAAATGCTCAGTAAGACATCCCCAATATTATTAGCTTCTTATCTGTTTCAGTTTAATAATCGCCAAAATATAGAAGATTTCTCAAATCATCAGCAAAGGAAGAAGTCTCAGCAGTCGAATAGATTTGTAGGACCTCAGGATATAAAACAGCATCAAATTCAGGATGAGAATAGCCAGCAGGTAATTTGTTCAACCAAATTTTGGTCTCAAATGGTATAGAAATGTCCACAGATGAAGCAAATAGCAATCTCAAAAGTACGTTGTTTTATCTGAACCTATCTAGATTAAATTCCAATACAGCCTAAGCAAGTCTTCTACTCCATTGTCAACTAAGAAGAAGGGATCAATTTCTCGAAAAATTGTAATGTCAAGCATCAACAAGATCAGATGCAGCAACACAAGAGGTACTAAATCTAGCTGATTTCTAGGAAATCCCAGGGTAAAATATCTGAACTGTAAATAAATTTCTCTCATTCACAAAAGAATCTGATGACTGACCGAAGGAGGCTAATGATGAATATTACGCTCCAAGCAAGTACAATCTGTCCAGAGTTAGTATCACAGGTCCTAGAATGATGAAGGATGCCAAAATGAAGCGATGGGACCCTTACTCTTCCAGATATGTCGTCAAATCCCAGAGCAAACCTAATGGTAATAAGATGATGACCACCAGGATTGGCGTCAAGAAGTCCATTTTTCGAGGAATCAGGCATGATTCCTTCTATCAGATTCATAAGAAGGTTAATAGTCCAGATAATAGCCAGTCAACTCTGAAGAAGAAAGAGACATTTGTGCAGAAAAATGGAACGTTTCAGAACAGAGCTAAGTCAATGGCTATCAGTTCTTCTGAGATGGCCACCTTTTATAAGCATTATCATGGCAATAAGGCCAATAATTGCAAGAATCGGGTGTTTAAAGCTTTATGCGACCAGTATGTTACAGATGAGTGTTTTAACAACACAACCGCCTCTGCTTTGCATCAAGAGGGTTCAATAGAGAGGGGTAGTAATAAGGATTACTCGGATCTGATAATCCCAAAGCCTCGTGAAAAGAGTTATGAAAGACTACGTGCACGGAAGTATCACTAAATTCATTAAAATAGCTTCAGTTAATTTAAAATTCAATTTTTAACCCTATTTGAGGGGTTTTGGGGTTTTGGGGTTTTGGGGTTTTGGGGTTTTGGGGTTTTGGGG